TGGCTATCAAATGATCGACTTATATGATTTAGTTTAGTAACCGCCTTCATAAATTAATTAATTATCTCACATTAACTTTGATCCAATTAGTTAAGAGATAAAGAATAATTGACGGCTACGAAGTTATAAGTTGGCCTACCCATTAAGCTCACTTATGTAGTCCACATATCAGTCCATCTAAAATTATAAAGATCAATCTGTTTATACTTATTAATTAATATAAATTCATAAATATGTATAAATATTCCAACAGCCAAGAATCCTTCCAAATACTCCACTGATATAACCCTTTAGCCAAGAATCCTTCCATTGTGACAACAGCCATGATGACGTATCCGTACGGCCGTGCGAAATTCAATATTAGAATGAGAATAATTTCAATACTGGTGAAAATATTTGCCTTAATTCAAACAAGCCTTAATTTCATGTTTGGAGGTTTTTAAAACGCGTCAATTTTTAAAAAATGAATAAATTATTAAAAGATTTATAATGTATGATAAAATAAACATGTTATGGAATGAAAATGATAATCTGAGAGACCCTAATTAGTTAAGGAGTTTCTATATATATAACCTATATCATAAGATCAAATAAAAGAAATAACTTATCATTTCTTAAATTTTAAAAATGACCTTTTTAATATTTAGTTAATCTATAAAACTGTCTTTTTCATATATGCTTTTTGCAAATACTAGAAGATTCAAAACGTAAGAAATGTTTGGAACTAAACGTAATGAATGCGAGATATATAGTCTAAAATGGCCCTTTTTTAGAGATGAGTGTGAGAGAGAAGATGGAACTGGATGTGAGAGAGACAAACGCGAGACAGTAGAGTAGTGTGAGCAAGCTACAGTCACAATCACGAGAGACAAATGCAAGGTGAGATACATCAACGGTACTAGATGAAATGGAGCACGTCGGTGGGAAAATGAAGCTACAGATTCATAATTTTTTTATTTTATTAGTTTATGTATTTGACTCTCTGTGATAAACTCAGAGTCCAAAAATTTTTATGGACTGTGTTTAATCTATTTTGAGTAAATCATTATATATTTTTTGTGTTACTGAGTCACGATACTACATCATTGATATACTGTTATATATCACTAATATATTATTGTAGATCAACATAACTAAACAATCAAATATAAACTTGTTTATCATTGATATACATACGTATATCGATGATGTAGTATTGCAGATCAGCAATATGAAAAATACATAATTATTTTCCTAAAATGAATTAAACACAGTTTGCAAAAAAAAAATAATGTTACCGAGAGATGTGAAGATAATGAAAATATGATGATAGATAATAGATTCCAGTTTAGTCTTCTACTTCCAAAAAATGAAGATTCCTTTTCAATGTCTAATGTCCTCTTCATAGTGTTTCTGGGAAAAACAGAGAGAGGGAGAGAAGAAAAGCTTTGTGATAAAGAAAGGCATTGACAATTTTATATTCAGAGAAAAAAAGGAATGATTTAGAGGGAAAAAAAGAAAATATTTAATTAGTTAAAAATTGGTTACAATAGATATATTGTGTTTTAATAATAAATTTAATTTGAGGATAAAAAAGTAAAATATATCTAATTGATTTTATGAATGGATCATATTTTAAAATATTCAAAAATCTCATCCATAATATGTGGAGTTGCATTTTTTGATGTCATTGAGCTAATTTCTTCTTTTTTAATTTTATTTTGAATTTTTTTAAAAAAAATCAGCTTACAAAACAGTTTTTAAAAAAACAAAAATTGAGAGCAAAACCAAACAAGCTCTATGTATGTAAATAAAGAATAATCTCCCAAATGTTGCGTAAAGGAATCTAATTCTATTTCTATCAAGGTAATTAACCAACTAGGGTCTCTCGGTTCTTCATTTGCCATTCCATAACATGTTTTATTATACATTATTAATATTAATCTTTTAATAATTTATTATTTTTTTAAAACATTGACGTGTTTTAAAAACCTCCCAAACATGAAATCGATGCTCGGATCGTTTGAATTAAGGTAAAGATTTTCACTAGTATTGAAATTATTCTCATTGTAAAATTGAATTTCGTACGGGTGTATCATCATGGCTGTCATCACAACGGAAGGATCCTCGGTTGAAGGGTTATATCAGTGGCGTAATTGGAATGATGCCTTTTTTTTTTTTTTTAAATTATTATTATTGTTTTAAATAGATGCATTGTTCATTGAAGAAAATGGAAGGAAATATTCTCGCCAGAATCCTCATCTTCCTCATCTTCCTTCCACCATACACATAAGCACGCTGCTCAGCACTGTGAGTAGACCGTACTCATCGAGTAAACGATACCTCATTTTGAGTGATATAAGGAAACCAACCCACACCATCTCCCTCATTTTGATTTCACTCGAGGGCGAAATAGAAAAGTAAAAGGAATTTGCCATTGAGACAATTTTCGTGAGACCCACTAGCATAATTCATGGAACTTGTATTTTTTTTATTTTTCGATGAAATAAGTTCACTAATCCAAAAATAACAGCCCCATTGTACTTTTCATCTTTTAATTATATATAATATAAATAAGCAATAAAAGAACAGTTTGTTTCCCATACATTTTAAAAAAATAAAAAACAAATTGCAAAATAATAATAATAATAATAATGAGTTTTTGTCATTTTCCCTATTGAGAATGCAAAGAGCAATTTGCTTTATTGCCACACAAAATATTTTTATAACTTGTTTTGCATACATGTTAGAAAAATAAAGAACAATTTGTTATTTAAAGATTGGTTATACCGACATAAATTTAAAGAATAAGAAAATTTTAAGTCTCTCGAATTTATTTTGATCACTCAAATTTAATTTTTTATTAATATAATATTTTGTTTTCTTAAATTATAATATTAGTCTTCTAGGTTCTAAAATATAAATTGATTCTTAAATTAAACTGATGTATAAAATATATTAATAACTTGACATGCATAAATGTGATTAAATAAGAAATATTCATTTTTCATAATTATTTGATTTCTTTATTTTCTCTTACTTGATGATTTTAAAAATTTTGAAAAATATAAAAATTAAATTTAAAAAATCAAAGGAATAACTTTGGTAAATAAAATAAGAAGCTAAAAATTTCATTTTTCCCCTAAATTAAAATAATGAGACAAAATCTAATTTGTGTAATTCATATATAAATTTTTTCGTCAAAGTAATTCCTGTATAAGTTTAAATTTAAACAACAATATTATATAATTTTATTTATATTAAAATACTTTTATTGATCATTTATATTATATATAATGTAAAGGTGAAAGATATCCATGGAGCTGTAGTTTTTGGTTCAATGAACACATTTCATCGGGTAAAAAAAGACACAATTCCACAAGTGATGCAGGTAGGTCCCACAAAATTAGTTCCAATGACCATTTCCTTTCGTTTTTCCATTTTGTCCTTTTTTTTTTTTTTTGGCCAAGTCCTCGAACAAGATCAAAATGAGGGAGAAGAGCATGGGGCATGGTTTGGCTTCCTTGTATCATCCAAAACGAGGCATCGTTTACTCACCGAGCACCATGTGTGCATCACGTTGCTGAGCAGGGAGCTGAATCCCTCCATCTCATTCCAAATACAAATAAAGTTCAAAACGACAGAAACAAGTGCCCCACCCTGCTGGAATCATGACACATGGTTGATGTTTAGTCCCAAAGAGATTCACGACCACTAAACTTCATATCCAAACGGCCGCCGGCACCCCCCACTGACGGCACAATTTTTCCTTCATTTCCTTGCCAGCCACATCAAGTTTTTGCTTCCCATCCATAGACCCAATTTGGGAGCTCATCATTGTGATAATATTTGAAACATTTAGATTTTGATATGGATAATCCAATATTAAACTATTATTATTCATTATATTTTTAAAATAAAAATTATAAAATAATTTTAATTAATTTTTTATTTTTAATATAGTTTCAATTTAATTTGAAGGATTCAATTTAATATTAAAATTTTTATAATTAATATATATTGACTATCCAAAGGCATTCTGTACAGTTTAGATTTAATCTGGTATTAATTTGGACTATGTAAAGTATATCTGGATAGTCAAGATATATCAAATACAAAAATTTTAATATTAAATTGAATTATTCAAATTAAATCTAGATCATATTTAAAATAAAAATTTATTAAAATTATTTTATTATTTTTATAAATTTTTATTTTAAAAAATATAATATATAATAATAGTTTAAATTTAGATGATCCAGATCAAAATGTGAATGATCCAAATCTCATCAGAATGATGAGCACTCAAACCAAACTCCCCATCCACACTTCGTTCTTGTGTTGCTCTATACTTTAGATCCATTTAATTATTAAAAAAGAATAAAATACAATGAATTAAAAAAATTAAATAAAAATTAACTCATCAACTACCCTTCCTCACATGATAAGCAATATAAAAATTTAATAATATATACAGTAAATATGAGAATAATTATACTCTTTAAAAATTTCATAAATCATACTTACTAATCCCATGAGCTAAATTATAGTAATATATATAGTAAATATGAGAATAATTATACTCTCTAAAAATTTCATAAATTATACTTACTAATCCCATGAGCTAAATTATCTCTCTTTTTTATGAGTGTACCTGTTTATTTCTTTTGATTATCTTACTTTTTACTTTTATTTTTTTGATCAATTCCATTCTATTCTTTCCTATTAACCAAACGGGTCCTTAGAGTTTTCTTCTCATCAAATTGATGCAAAAGTTAGAAAAGTATTGCATTTATTAATTAAATATATAATAGTTTCACAATAAAATTAGTTACCATTATATAAATATATAGTGAGTCCTTTTAACGCTAAATAATTTAAATTATTTTAATATAAGTGATACACCTTAACTAGTAATTTGGGCATAACCTTAATAACGTATTGCACAGAGCCCGTCCAATTTGTTTGGGCCTAAAATAAAGGCAAACAAAGAGAGAGAAAATTGATATTAAAAATGGAAGAAAAGAAAAAATAGCAAGAAAAATAGTAAATGTATAATAAAATATAAAATGCTTACTACTCATAATTGTGAAGGGATAAAAAAAAGCGACCCCCTTCCCACTTATTAATTAATAATACAACACTCCAAAATTAAAGCGTGGACTTCGCGGGTCTTCTCGATCGAGCATTCCAATAGTGGAGTGATCAAGACAAAGATATTGCCGCCACACACGCGTATCAATTACACATCATTCATGCGGAGGATTCCGTCTTCCTGCATGCCTCCAGGAGCAGTGAGTCTAAGGCTCGCCAAGACGAGCCACCCTCCGCCACCGCCTTCTTCGCCGCCCCCGCCAACTCTGCCACCTTCTTCCTCGCCTCTCTTCCCTTCTCTCCTTCCATCAGCTCTCTCACCATCTGGCTCACCCATTCTCCTCTAATTAACCCTCCCCGCCGCGAACCCTGGAACGTGTCAACTCTCAACCCCACCTTTATCTCCTCCTCCACCATTTTCGCATTCAGATGCTGTTCCGCCATCATTGGCCACGCCAGGATCGGCACTCCTCCGCATATAGCTTCCAGCACTGAATTCCATCCGCAGTGGCTAAGGAACCCCTTCACACTCTTGTGCATCAGTATTTCTCTCTGGTCCACCCACTCTCTCACTATAATCCCTCTCTCTTCCACTCTTCCTTCGAACCCCTGAGGTAGCTCCCACTCTTTCTTCCTCACCACCCACATAAACTCCACCTTCGATTCTTCCAATCCCGTGGCTATTTCTTTTAGTTGTTCGCTTGATATCTCGGCTTGCGACCCAAACGCAACGTACAGAACTTCCTGCTTCTTGTCTAACCACTCCATCCATGTTGGTTTTCTGGATTCTTCGCTAAGCTTATTCCTCGGTTCTTCGGCCAGGCATAACGGCCCCACACAGTAGTGTGGTTTGTGATCGGACTCTTTCGTCGTATAATCAACGAACACGGGCTCCAGCTCATAGAAGCTGTTCACCACCGTTCCAAAGCTTTTCACGGTGGATGAAATTGCGTTCGTATGGAACTCAAAAGAAACACTATTTGGGTCTTGGTTTCGAAACTCGGGTTCCACGTCGTTCTTGCTGACCCCGATCCACGGGAACCGGTTCAACTTGACCGACTCGTCCTCAGGCTGGGGACCGTTGAAGATCCCAGAGATAAAAGCTTCTCTGCAAACGGCATGGGCGTAAGAGCTCATGCCGTAGTACACCAGCCTGGGAATCCCGAACTTGGAAGCCGAGTGCAGGGTCCACCATAAGAAGCCGTCAGAAATTAAAAAGCTTACACTCGGAAGAGTCTCCAGCACCCGTTCGAAGTGGGGCTGCATGTGCGCCGTGGCGAGGGCGAACTTGTAGAACAGAGACATGGAAGGAAGGTTATCAGTGCTCTCAACGCCAGCGGGGATTTCTGGGATGTTGGCAGGGAACGGTAGGTCGATGATGGTGACGCTGGTGTTTTGAAGGGATTCGGTTACAAAGGGGCGGTTGGCGGGGGTGGTGATAACGGTGACCAAAGCTCTGCGGCGGAGGAGGAGGAGGCGGGCAAAGTGGAGGAGGGGGATGGTGTGGCCTTTGGCCATGAATGGAAAAAGAAGGACGTGGGGTTGGCACGAGTCTTCTTCACACTGAACTGATGAACCCATGTTTTTTGTTAACCAGAGTCTGCGTGTGATCGATCGTCGCTTTTTATTAGCCAAACTTGAAGGACCACTTGCAGTGGCGGTGAAGTACGTATTATTCCAGGAACGCCATGTGCAGTGGTACTCACGGTACAATGAATTACAGCCACTTATAACTTATGTACTATCAGTATTCAATTCTCTTCAAGGGAATTGAAATGAAATATCACCTATATGTGCCAAGCATATTCATTAAAAAAATCTGAAATCAGCCGGCATATAAAGATTTATGCAATATTTTCGGCACAAATAATTTGGTGCGGACTTGGCTTTTATATGCATAAAAAAATGAATACATGCATCTTACATTAATTGGTGGGGAAGATTCTGTCACTGCAGCGACTGATCAACTTGATATTTTTTGTAACACTTCAAGCAAAAAGATTTTCCCTCAAAACCAGATACTTCACTTTAAGTATCTTGTTTTACAAACACACTCACTTCTCAGTCTAAGAGGATATTTTAAAAAATTATGTTTACATATTTTTAGTTTTTATATAATTTTTTAGTCCTCTAATTCTATTTATAGGTAGAGAGGAAAAAAAAATTAATCATACTTATAAGGTATTTTCTAATTTTCTACTCTTTAGGTTTTTGTTCTTATTAAATGTTTTGAATAAAAATATTAATAATAAAATTTAAGAATATTTATTAGAAATAAAGGTAAAAATTTATTAATTTTTAAAATAAATTTAACAAGGTTTAAAATTTTTCTTGATTCCAGTAAAACATATTGAAAATAATTTATAAATAGGATTAGAGGAAGTATATAAGAATGTAATAATAGTAGGCTTATTTAAATATTATTGTGACTAATTAAAAATAGATTATCTGTTCTTTAATTAAAGGGATAATTATATGCACAGACACACATTACAACGACGTCCCTCATCACAGTCACAGAGAAGAATCCTCACACATCCAGTATCCCGCATCCAACCCGCAAGCATTAGTATAGTGAAAGTGAGTTCAATGAATGCTCCTCCACGCTATGAATAGACGTGGGCAAGGAATTGAAAGCCAACCCACAGGCTGTCCAAAACTCGATTGCCCCCATATCTCTCTTAAGAGTTGAGTTCAAACACGGTACCATTTGAAAGGTTACTCGTTGAAATAGATTTTTAATAAAGGCACGTTTTGTGAAGTAGAAATTTTTTTTTATATCTATTTTAAATGATTTGAAAAGTGAATAGGTGAAGATTTATTGATTGTTGAGTTAAAAATTTTAAACATTTGTTTTTGTTTTTATTTTTGTTTTCACTTGTTTGAGTGTGTTGTGAGATTTATTTTCATTTTATTTTTCCTGAAATACAAAAACTAAGTGTAGAGGAATTAATAAGACATATTCTTCTTAGTCTTATTTATAGGATATCTTTTAGAAGAAATTTTTGATTCAAATATAGGATATTTTGTAATAATTAAATTATTTTTTAAATTTTACCCCTTCTTAATTAGCATAAAAGTATGTAATATAATTTTATTATTATTTAAAGCCTAGGTTAAAAATAAAAGTACATATCACTTTTTTATAATATCAAGAAAAAAACTAAGCCCAGGCTAAAAATAAAAGTAAATATTATTTTTTTATAATATCAAGAAAAAAACTAACTTTTCTTAAGATATGTGAAACTGTTGAAAGTATTCTATAATATGGATCAAAGGGAGTATTACTTATACACACTTATTAGCTTATATGATCATTTTAGACACATTAAGAGTTTCTATATGCATTCATACCATATTTTTAGTATAATTTTGCCTAAGTTTTCAACTACATGTATTAGGGATATTTTTGATCATAAAGTGCACTTTTTCATCAAATTGAGGTCAAGCTTGAAATTTATGTCTTTTAATGGGCTAAAATAATTGGTCAAATTAATTTTTATTGATTCATCTCATGTTGAGAGTTATTAGTAAAAGATAACATTTTAAAGTTGTCTTCCTAAGAGTTTTCAATTAGTTTTTAATTTTAGTTCAAGTGTGTGCTTGTCTACACTTGTGTTTTATAAAACTTTTATATTCATTTTTCCTTAGTTATTTTACTACATGGATGATTTAAATATTCTTACCTTAATCCAATTAAATAAAGGGAAAATGATAATAAAATATTTCTAAAATATATAAATAATAATTTAGTCCCTCAAAATGTCATAATTCTCTAAAAGTTCCTAGAGACTTTTTTGTAATTAATAAATTTATATAAATTATTAAATTATTCTTGTTGAAAATAAGTAATTCATAATTTTTCTTCTTAAATTCATAATAATGCAACAGCAAATCACAATTTTTCATGTTAAATTCCTTATTTGCTATTATATTGTTGCAAATATAAAAAAAAGTTGTGAATATGAGAAAAAAAGTTATAAATTATTTATTTTAACAAGGATAATTTGGTAATTTATATAGATTTATTAATGACAGAAAAGTTCTTGAGACTTTAGGAAAATTATGACATTTTAAGAGATTAAATTATTATTTATATATTTTAGAGGGATTTTATGATCATTTTTTCTTAAATAAATGTTACACTATAATTATTTAATTTAATTATGACTCAGGTGGACTAATATGACAATTGAGACATAATTCAAGGCAACCAAATGAGGCTTTTAGAGAACTAATTGGGTGTGACATGTTGACCAAAAGATGTGCAAATTAAACTTAAAATAATGCATTATATTGAACCAAATCTAACTTTAGAATTGTCATCAATTTTCCTCCAAATTCATAAGCAGTATTGGATCATGTCCAAAACTTGAATGCTTGGTTCTGTTTGACTTTGGCTTCCATGGGAGACAAACAACAACGGCCTCCTTTAATTAATTTAATTAATTCAAGTGATTAGCCCTTCCATTAATGTTGGACATATATAAGCTCTACTGCTTATACCAGGCATCCCCGTTTAGGATATGTTTTTAATTTCTCTACGTGCACATCTTGTCGTTATGACATACTCTTTCCATCTTTATATATAAGATGCTTTTAATTGAATCACGTAAACTAATAAAAGTTGATTATTTAATTAAAAGCAGAGCAATATTTTAATTTTATTCCTAATTATTATAAATAAAAAATAAATTTTTTTAAAGTAAATTAATTAGAATACTTATCTTTTTAATTTAATAAAAGTATAATGGTCTATTCACAAAAAAAATATATTAATAATATCTTATATTTAGAGATAAAAAAAATCTAAGAAATCTCTTACATATAAGAAACGGAGGAAGTATAAGTGTCTAACTATATAGTCTATGTATAAATTAGAGGATCTATCTGCATTTTATTTACTTGTTAGTAGCTTGCGCACTTGATAAGGAATTCATAGATACTTGTTCTCTGAACAAAGCGAGAAATGTATAAATCCTTTAGCCTATTTTTTCCTTTATTTTTATCGAGAGTGTAGCGGGATTGCAGCTCGCAAGAGTGGTCAAGAAGAGAAACCCAATTTTCTCTATTATTGTCAAATCAAGCTGCATGGATTTATATGTATGATACTATGATTCAACCAACTCTCTCTGCTCTCAAATTATAACTTACTTTAAACAAAATCATATGCTTGCTATGTTAGAAAATATAAAATATTTTTAATTGAATCTTATCTTTAATAAAATAGTTACTTATTTTTAAATTAATTATATTTTTTTATATTTATCCTTATTAAACACCCTACAATAAATATAAAATCACTTATTAATAGAGGCACTTTTTAAAAAAAGGTAATGATTACATGTCGAAAGATTAATGAAACGGAAAAATAAAAAAGCAGAAATGAAAGTCACATAATGGAGCACAATAAACTCTCCATAAGCTTCCCTTAATTCCTGTAACCTCCATTTTACTTTGTGTGCTTCAATTTCAGGATCCTAGTACTATAAATAGGGCCTTTGTTACCTGTGTAAAGCATCTTAGTTTGAAAAGAATAAAGAAGTGTTTGTTTTCCATTCAGTTTCTGTGCCATTTTTGCATTAGAGCTAGTCCAGAGAGCGAAAGAGTAGGGTAGAGTTAAGGAACTACGTTGGAGAGGAGAGAAGCTCAGAGGAAGAGTCCTTGACTTGTTCAAATCCTACATTCCGAATGTTTTCCCTAGAAACTAACATTACCATTGTGCTCAGAAGGTCCGAAAAGATGGAACAGGAGGTTTCTCGTCGTCAGAATCGTCTTCACGCGCCTCCACGTGCCGTCGCCGTCTTCACACGTGCCAATCGACGTCATCTGCCACATCATCAATCTGATCGTCAATGATAAGTCAGCCCAATCATTTCCTACCATGTGTCATAGTCACCACGTCACCCTACCCAGTCAGCCATATTTTTTGAAATTACAGTTTTGCCTTAAATCTTTTCATAATTCCATATTGACCCCTTAAGTTTATGAAATTTCGCATTGACACCAAAATTTTTCAAAATTCTTTTTTGACCCCTAATCTTTTCTAAAATTACACTTTTGCCCTTAATTTTGCTTAAATTCCATTTTGACCCCTATATTTTTCATAAATTGTAGATTGACCCCATACTTTCAAGATCTCCATTTTTACCCCTCGACTGTCAAGAAATCCCATTCTACCCCTATATCTTTTCAACGTTTCCATTTGCACCTCAATTTTTTCAAATATCCCTATCCTTGACACTTATCAAAATGCCTCCAAGACGCAGGCATGTGCACGAGGTTAAGATGGAAGAGATGAGACGTAAGATACGAGAGTTGGAAGCCACTATGGAATTGCAGCAAACTCTATTAAACAATAATAGAGAAAACTTAGAGGGAGATTCGGGAAGAAGCAGTTCGTCATCCACTGACAACCGCTGCCGTTAACGACAACAATAATTCTGCCCTAATGACATTAAGGTAGATATTTTTGAATTTGAGGAAAGATTCTAGCTAGACAACTTTGTAGATTGGCTGCAAACTGTTGAACGAGTATTTGAATACAAGGAGATTCTAGATGCACAGAAAGTCAAAATTGTCACCCTCAAACTCAAGAAACATGCTTCTATTTGGTAGGAAAACCTTAGACAGAAGCGAGAACGTGAGGAAAAGCACAAGATTGAGACCTGGGAGAAAATGAAATGCCAGCTCCCCAGGAAATTTTTGCCA